GATGGAACCTGACTCCTAATAGTTAAATCACGTAAAACTGCAGTAGAGTAGGTATAATAGAATGCCGCGACTGTATACGATATATAGAACTATATTAATTAGTATTATTATCATTATTATTATCATTATTATTTTAAGGGAAAGTGGTTGGTATAAGGTACAGAGTATATAATATATAATAGAAGGCCTGTCCACCCTTAATTATAAGATTATACAGAAACGCTTGCTAATACATCGTGTCCAGAGATTACGTCAAAGTATCATGTTTTATTCAAAGACATGATTAACGCACTACACACACACACACAAACACACTGAAATAGAATACGGTAGGTAAGTGATGAGTTGTGAGCATAAGACAATAAATATTCACCGTCCGAGAGATAGTGTCACTTTGACGTTTGCATAGAGGGCTCAAGCCAGCCGATTAGATTGTGGTAATACAATAAGGCACGAGCCGATTATATTGTTTCGGGAGAGATCGCAATCACCGCTGCAGAGATATAATAATTCAACTAGGTCAGGCAGCGGATCCAGGGGGGCCAAGGGCCATGGCCCCCCTTAAACTGGTGGATTTTCTATTATATCTATTTTCGGCAGCCGATAAAATGTATTGTTTTGCCGATAGCGTTTCGGCCGTGTCCGTTTTTACCGGTCGCCGTCAAAAAGCTAATCTATATTGTACACTTGTTTGATGCAATAAATGTTAAAATATTATATAATTATTATTTATTATATATGTATTACGTATCATTATTAATTAAACATTATATTTATTATACAAAATTATTTAATATATTTTATTGTACTGATAAACTGGGTTTAAATAATATATTTGCCCTATTAGCTACATAGTATGTACAATGTTTTTATCAGACTTAGGCAGAAATTTTATTTAAGATTCCCCCCCCCCGTAAATATGCTCTAGATCCGCGCCTGAACTAGGTAGGTACCTATACTTACTTAGAAAGATCAAAATCCATTCGCTGTAATATACTAATATACGTTCTATTATTTTTGTACGACCCATGGACGATGCCAATGATGGTAAATTATTTACCGTAAATATATACCTAAACTATACGCGAAGTCCAATTCGATTATATTAAATAGGGTGATTGAGCATGCTCATCCACCATGTTTTTTCTTAAATAACAAATTAATTCAAATTATAATGTAAAGTACAAGAATATAGGAAACATAGGTAAAAAAATGGAAATATAAACTATATTGAAGTATCTATTTTAACTTGATAAAGTTGTAAAACTTAATTAATAAGGTACTTATAATTACTTATCATCAAATATATTTCACTGTGGACGTCATGTCACTTTCAGTTTATGACCTAAATTTCAATACAATATATTAAGCTACTTTCATCAAACATGCCACATGGGCATGGTACCTAATCTATGGCCCTGTAATTTTGTGCAGATTTTGGTGGAGTTCTAGGTAGTTACCTAGAATAAGTATAAGTCGAAAACCAAAGTAACTAACTTATTCGTTAGTCATTACATCAAAGTTCATGAACAGATTTACGGCCAAAAGATATTATAGCTAGGTCTAATTTATTAGTTTTAGTACAAAATCTTGATTTTATTGTTCTACATAACCATAATCGGAGGGATAAAAGCGAATTTAGTCCTCTAATTTAACTTATTGTTACATTATAAAAAAAACTAAAATACCTACTAATATAGGGGAAGAACACGGGGGGCAAGACGAGACACTTAATGTTTAACTCGTTGTAGTATCTTAAATTTTTCAGAAAAATTTTAGATTTATGTACCAACCATATTTTATAAGCCAACATTCCTTAGTTTTAAAATTTTAAAAACTTTAAAATACTTAAAAATATTATTAAAATCAAAAAATTATGTAAAAAAATAACGGAATAATTCTTCCCATATTACCCACACCACCATGGCGTAAGAGACATATAAATTCCCAATAGGCAATAGATATATATGTTCAAATATATCAACATGGGAACTTACTTAGAAGAATTTTACAAAAAAAAATACATAAATATTAAACAAACATATTTAATTTTATAGCCAGACTTTCGTAATACTTTAACAGAGTCCCACATGAAAATTGTCTCATTATGCCCCAGACAGACTAATTATGTTCAAAATTTCAAATGTTCAATTGAACCAAACTATTAAATATTGGGAGGGGGTATGGTAAATGGCATATTTAAGGTTGATTTAAATACTAGACTGGGGCAAATGCCCCAGTTGCCCCCCAAAAAATGACACCACTGATCTAAATTACCTCCATAATATATTCTGAAAAGGTTTCAAACATATTATCTATAATATATATGTATATAAAAATGGACCCTAATCCTTTGCATCACTTGAGAACGCATTTACCGATTTGACAGATTTGGCAGATTTTTCCAGGACAAGGTTTATATGAAAGATAATTTTAGGAAAATCCACCTGAAAAGTAGGAAATCTGGATGTCAAAAATACAATAGTGGCGCCATCTGCCCAGCAATAAAATATAATAACTTTTGTTTATTTATTATTGTAAGGTGCTATTGATTATGATTGAGTATAATTTTTGACCCGTATATAATATTTGGTCAAAACAATATAACTTAGTAAACAATGGTATTACTAATTAATTTTTCTACCGTTGTCCCAGAAACCTACACAAGCACATCATAAACAACGTGTTAATAAAATATTTGTAACTAGGTACGTAGGTATGCCCCTTGAGTGGTCTGCAATCAACCACAGGTGGTTAGCCTTCCTGAAAATATATTTCTCATTTTTTCGCATGTTCACAAACGTGTCTCACGGGCAAGGCCGGTCGGGGTGACTATAATATAATAATATATCCTAAGACCGTGATCGAACGTGTCCTAACATAGGTCCTGAATGGCTCACTGACTGATAAACTTAGAGCCTAAATAATAATTTAATAATGATAGATTGAGGGCATTGAGGCTTTCAATTTTTATGGTGCCTTATTCGTACCACCATGTACCTACCTAAGTGTGCACTAAGAAAGCATCATCTAAAATTCACATTTTGTTAAGTGGTGCTTTCATATGCATTTTGAGATTCAAGATTCAAGATGAAAATGTTTAAGTTTTGAACTCCATACACCGAATATTAAATAACAATGAACAAAGTTTGAATCTTACAGAGTTGATACATTTAATGGGAAACGAAATGCACCGGATCGGCTAGTTATTAATAATTATGGACCATCTATTACCTCTTATACTCATCTAATCAACTTTCCCCACTATTTTAATTATTTCTTATACATAGTATGCTTTTTAAGGTTAAACAGGTAAGTAACAAAATTCAGGGATTTTGATTTTTCTAATTACGATTATGTAAAACAAAAATGCAGTCATCAGGCGTTCAGACTTAATTGATTTTGTGCAAAAAACAATTTGACCTAGTTAAAAGGCATAGCTGAATAAGTTTTACTTATATTATAAATAATAATGAACCGTATCTTTCTGACCGTAAAATCTTAAAAACAAATGAAATAAATTAAGCAAAAATAAATACTTAGTAGATGCAGTCCCTAATGCAGTACTCAATATACCTATACGTATAATAACATAATTATAAAATCACATAAGCACCTCAAATATATTGTTCTATTACCTACTATTTTGTTGGAAAAGTCTTACTAATAATATACAGTAATACAAGTTAAATTTAAACTGCAGGTTTCGTGATAAATTCAAAAAAAAAACTGATGAATTAACTATTGAGCAAATATACTGCAGGTAATGTAGATATAATGCATGACGACTTAAAATCTGCTGCATCTTATATTTTATGTTATTCATTCTAGGCCATTCCCGTTCCCATTCCCTCGGTTATTAACCTTGATTCCACACGTATCATATAGTTTCCCTATCAATTCAATACCTTCGTCATCTCAGGCACGTAGGTTGGGTTGTAGGTACAGTTCAATTTTTATGATATATGTATTATGTTTCGATTCTATTTTGCCGACATTTTAATATCTTAATACCGGTTGTTGACATTTTAAACACTATATAATGTATGCATTATTTTAGCTCTACATCATATTCAGGTAAATGGTTATGAATAACAAATTGTAAATAATTTAACAACTCACGTTTCTTCAAACCGATATTTATGCAATAATAACATATACGAGGTTTTGACAATTGAAATCACGTAAACTCTTCAAATACAATATCGTTCTCGTGGTTCTTGTGCTACATACCAACCTATTTTGTAGGAAAAATCTTACTTAATAAACTGTAATTACTAATTTAGAACTGCAGGTTTTAATATCGGATAAATTTACATGTCCTATGTTTAATTAAGCTAAACATTTTCTATAGTTTTTTTTTGGTATTGTAATTTTTTCAAGTGAGTAATGAACATTTTTAAATTTTAATATTTTAAACACATGCCTAACTAGCTTCAAAATTAAGTATAACAAAAAAACACTTTTAACAAACCACAGATTATTGCTACCTTTGTGCTAATTATTGGTAAATTCACTCTAATATTAAAACTAACAAAGCCTAAAAAAAATAAGAACTGCTGAAAGTAAATTTGTTTGTTGCGTACTTGTAAGACGGAGACAACACATGCAGAAGAAATGCCCTTTTAAATAAAAGTCTTACTGGCCTTTTGGTACTCAGAAGAAATATTCTAAGCTTGGCAACCTAAAATATCATCTAAAATTAATTTTAGAAATCTTATTTTTGTTTTAATTATCGCAATAATACAATAATAGTACTTTTAGTGTTAGGATTATAATAATACAATCTAAAAAAATATATGTATATATAATATAATACATAGAAGTTTTATAACAATAATATATTTTACATTTTCATTAAGTTAACAAAAATAAAATAATTATTAAGTTGATAAGAAACATTTAAAAATAAAAATTGTTCTTGTGAAAACTGAAATGAATAATAATAATAATTTATAATTTGAGGTAGTCAATCTGCTACTTATGTAAACTATAGCTTATTAATCATAAAAAAATATTGTTCCAAATTCCTGAGCACAAAGACTTTGAATTTCAGCTAGAAAAAAAATAAGTTTTTTAAATTTTTGTATCATCTAAATTGACATAGAAGTGTATATACTCACAATCTACATCATATAACTTGGTCAACTTTTGATTCAACACTATATAAATTTCTCGTGAATTGCATAATCTACCAGCTACCCAATTATCATTAGCTGTTTTTATCATAACAGAATAAGTTGGGTGCATACTGAAATAAAATAGATAATGCAATTGGTACATACATAATAAGTGAGTATACGATTCATATAAAACTTTTTTTTAATCAGAAACATACGCACCAAGATTGTTGGCTGCTAATATCCACTAACACTCGTAATGCTTCCGGACTAAGATTAAATTCGGATGGTCTATTAGTTGTAGCTGCTGTGTTTGAATGCTTAATTGAATTTTTAATAGCTAAATTCATACCATTAAAATATACAAATTTAGCTGGTCTTTCAGTATACAATTTTGAAGCCAATGTCTTTTCAACTGTATTTTTCATCTTTTCTGATAACAAATGTAATTTTGTCCCAAGAAACTGATCTAACGAGTTGTATAAATCTGCCGTTAAAGGATTTTCCACTGAAATTAATTATCACTATCAGAAAATGAATTTGTTAAAGCATATATTCATATTTTATGATACTTACTTTTAATAAACATACAAACAATTGATTGATGAGCTTTATACATAACTAGCCTATAGCTTTTGAATGTTTCGTCGTTTTCATCATTTAACCTTAAAATAGGAACCTTACCCAAATCACTAATCCAACTATCTGTTTTTACTGCCCAAACATTTGTTATAAACCTATTCAAAAAGTCACACTAGAGTATAAAAATATAACAATAGTCAATACATTAATGAGTTCAATTATTCATACCTTCCAACTAATTGATTGGGCAAACATTGTTGTACTGAATTTCCTTTGACTAAATTGTCTTTCTTTGAAATTTCTGGTAAAACCCACATTAAAATATAGGAATACACAAGTTGAGTTTGACGTTTATTCAAACCACTCCTAAAAAAGACAAACAATTAAAAAAAGGTGGGCAAGTGGGTGTCGCTCTGCTGTACAGTAGGTTACAAGTGGGTCACTGTATAATGGATGGTATTAAATTTGAATTCAATGATATAATATCATTGTATAAGAAAAACGATTCTGAGCGGTGATGGTATGTCAGTCTATGTATAAGGCATATTATATACATATCTATGGTATTAAACAAAAAATTGACCTATAATAGGTACCTATAATAAATTCCAAATTAATCATATCACAATATCCATTAGATACTTATAACGCGTTATACATCAACAAAAACCGTGATACTATCATAGATATATAATAGTACACTTTAGAAGTTTCAAGTACCCACGAATAGTATTATTCAATCACAACAAAATAACTAAAATCGTAATTCTTGGTTTAATATGAAATTTTGTCTAAATTTGAAATTAAAATGTCTGTAAAAAATAAGTGTGTTTATATATTTTTTAGATTTTTTGGTTACAGTATGAATTAAGAGAATCTTTGTTTTAAATTTTCAACTCTTAGTTATAAAAACTGAACATTTTATAATTTTTTAATTCCAACGATTGATAATTTTCGAGATTTTGATAAATTTTGTCAAAATTCCAACTTTAAATGCTTATAAAAAAAAATCGTGCCTATGTATTTTTAATATTTTTCAACTGATATTGTAACAATATATCAGGAGCCTTGTATTAAATTTTTACACTTTTTGGCCTAACAGATAAAACTTTATTGATATTTATAGAAAAAAAAACTAAAAAAATTGAAAGCTGTAAATGTCCATAAACAGCTCAAAAAGAGTCAAAATATTTTCAAAATTGTATGGTGTATAGGAAATGCTAATATAAACATTCAGTGAAATTTTCATGTATCTACAGTTATTCGTTTTTGAATTACAACAAAATAAGGAAATCGCTACATGAGAAATCTAGTGAAAATCCAATGTTGTAAAAATTTGAATTTCAAACGCTCATAAAAATTTAATTTGACTGTCCGGTAGAGATTTTTTTATTGATAAAGGTAGATAATCTTATAAGGAATCTTGTGTTTCATTTTCAAATCTTAGATTTAAAAAGAAAAATTTTTACGAATTCTTAACTCAAAATAATTTGCTAATTTTCGTGATTTTTCCATATTTTGTCAATTTTTGAACTTTAAATGCTTATAAAAAAAAATTGTGACTAAGGATTTTTAATATTTTTCATCTGCCTTTGAAACAACATATTAGGAGCCTTCTATTAAATTTTCAAGCTTTCGCAACCAACAAATAAAATTTTATTGATATTTCTAGAAAAAAAACTAAAAAAAAATGAAAAATGAAAATGTCCCTAAACAGTTCAAAATAAATCAAAATATTTTGAAAATGTTATCGTGTATAGAAAATGCAAATATAAACAACCAGTGAAAATTTCATGTATCTACGGTCATTTGTTTTAAAGTTACACCAATAACCAAATTCGATTTTTTGGAAAATCGATTTTGCGTAAAAATTCCCGTTTTTCCTTAATTTTTATGTTGTTTTTCCCGGCGCTTGTGAAAACTACTGGAAAATGTTTACTTTTGACCCCCCAAAGTACCAACTAGATTCACTTTCCTATCAGAAAAGGTACTATTGAAGAAAATCGAAGCACTTTTACTGTCCCAAAACGTGATGACAGACACAAAAATATAAAAATATAAAAATATAAAAATATAAAAAAAAACATACATCATTGTAAAACCAATACATTCATCGCTCCGCTCAGAATCTAAAAAAAAATCAAAACCGATTTACAGACATATGTATAATATGTCAAACCATTGTTCCACAATCCACATAAACCATTGCTAATTAAACTAAATCTAAATAAAAACGTATTAAGTACTTTTATTCACACCTGTAAAACATAAATTTGATACTACAACTGGAGTCTGAAGAAATATTAAAACTCTATAAATTAGTACACAATTTTGCTATAGTTCTTATTGCCAGACTCCAGTTCTATGTATTTTAAGAAAACTTTTGATATAATAATATTAAAATACTTAGTAATTAATATTGATTCATAAAATGCAAAATTTATAATGGCATATTATAATCTAATTTTTAAATGATTATGAAATGTAATAAATGTAATACATTACCAAACAAGTGAATCATTATAAAGTAACATTGTAAAATGTACTTGTTGAAATGTGTTTTCAATAATATTTAGAAAACTCTGAGCGTTCAAATGAATGGCATTGTCTAAAGGAAGAAAACTGATACCATGAAACATATCCATAAATGTGTGACTCGATACATCAGTACTCTGTAAATACTAAGAACAAGAAACATACTTAAGTGTTAATAGTAAAATTAAATTATATACATAATATTAAACAGATTTGAATTGCATTAGTATTTATCAATAAATAAGCGATATATAATTAATTGTTATTAAAGCTAACCTTGCTATAAAATTTGTTAAGCATAAGTCTGAGATAATCCGGATCATTATCGTTCATTAGCTTAGTCATACTACCCACAGTCATTTGAAACGTATGATACCAGTGTTTCAGAACGGCCAAATAAATTGGTTCTTGGAGATTATGCGTGCAATATATAGGTTCATCTGGGGACTCTGAAGACTTTTGTTTAGATTTACATTGTGCTGAAACAGTCTACTAAACATAATGTACCAATTACTAAGATAATTTTGAAGAAATCTAGAGATTGAAAAAATTAATTTAAAAAACTAGTAGGTATTAATATTACAATAACTATCCAAAAATCTGGCTCCGCATTGTACAACACTTGCAATGATTTTTCAGTACGCAATGATTCACATGACTCATTTGCATTAAAGTTCCTGTAATATTTGTTCATTAATTAAAATATTTATCCATTTAGTAAACAATAATAATACGTAAGATTATTAAATGTTCTAGCATACCGTGCAAAACAGATTACAGCTTCAATGTGACCGACATTGAGAACTTTTTTGTTCTCATCGTCGTGTTCTGGATAATAAAATAATATTTTTTTAGCTCCCTGTAATACAAAAAAAAAAATAATATACAATGAAGGATATCACAAGTATTAAGTATTAAGAGGACGTAACACTTTTGTTGCAACCGTTTGACAAGTGCTTAACAAAACAAATTTACGCTTAGCAGATCGAATTTAGCTTTGTTAGTTTAAATATTTGAGTGAATTAACCTATTATGAAACTTGATGGTAAGAACATTATCTGTGTTTGTTTGTAGATTTTTTACGATTCAGCATTTTTAATTTACACATCATTTATAATATACAAAAAACTTGATAAAAAAAAAAACCCACTTACAGATACAAACACAGATAATGTTCTTACCAACAAGTTTCATAATAGGTCGATTCACTCTAATTTTTAAACTAACGACGCTAAATATGATCTGCCGAGTGTAAATTTGCTATGTTAAGCACTTGTAGGGGGGAGACAGCAAATGTCTGTGTAGGCCCTCTTAACCTTAGATCACACGCATTTAAAATATTCACGAGAATACACGCACCCGGTCTTTTTAGTCACACACAGTATGGCCCAAACCATAGTCAACTAACCAGTCACAATAAAAATATAATAACTATCAATTTCGTTTATCGAGCAGCAATTATTAGAAACACAATTTAAAAATAACCTATAATTGATTTTTTAAGATCACGCACACGGTCTTTTTGACCATAGATTAATACGTAATGTCTCGTAATGAACTTTGAACACTTATATATTACTGACATCAGATTGTATACAGTTGGGAGTTGTATCTAATTTTAGTTTATCACCTAATTAGAAGGTACCTAGGTTGGATTAGGTTAATATTTTGTATTTTTGAAACAATGAACAAACTTCTAAAAGTCCGGTCTTTTTGACCATGAAGCGTGTGCTCTAGGGTTAAGCAAACCAATTTTTGATGAGAGCGATGTTTCCTATAATTTATTATAATTTTTTTTATTATTATTATATTATTATTGATCTTAATTACAACTTTGACTATTAATTACATTTTATATTATTATTCCATATTATTTAAACAAAATATTTTTTTGTACTTGGACTTAAACGAAGAAGGTAGCCTTAGACAGCCTAACGTGATCATTGAAAAAATTGTATTTACTTTTTATAGACTATTTTGGCAGTAAAATATGAACACAAAAAGACTTACATCGTCCTCGGTTTTCGATAATTTAGAGTTAAAAATGTACAAATTCTGTACAGTGACTTCAGTCGGCATTTTTTTTTCCGTGGTCTGTGTGCCCTCGTTTACATGATACAGAATCGAATAAGAATTTGAATTTCGAACACAAACCGACAGCAAGTGTGAATTATTATAACCGCAAGCGTCGTAAATTGTTATATAGATCAACAATAAAATAAATAACGAATAATTAAATTACAGCTATGAGTACGACTCTGTAGTCTGTTGTAAATTGTGGTCCGCGAGCAATCAGTTATCAAAATCAAACAACAAACAGACGATGTGATAACGGTTATCAGAGGTAACCGTGTGAGAAAAACTACCTCCATAGAATCAAGGTGGATCAAAATAAAAAAAAAAACATTGTTTTTTATCATGCAAAATACAACACAACCACGGACACAACACAAAGTTCAATCAAATATGATTATGATCATTATCAGTGGATGATGTTTTGTACTATTATTATTATTTATTTATTAATTAATAATTATTATTATTAATCGTAGTTACTACTAATTATAGTAGTGAACTGTGTTAATAGTATAATATTATTATTCATTAAATACATAATACCTATTGGCTATAGGTAAACCACCATATATCGTTCTATATTGGTAAGTGTTCCCGAAATGCCTTTCACGACGCACCATAAACGAACCTAGAAGTTTATGAATTAGAATTATTTCGTAAGATCTCAAATTTGAATTTTTGTCCTATTACGTATCCAGAAATTTATTGCATTTTTTAGACGAGAAAAAAGGTACACAGACTACGATTAATTACGAAAAATAAAACATCGGTAAGTACCTTGTTTGAATAATTTTGCATAATGCCATGTAGCTATATCAAGAGTGGTCAGTAATTGTATACTAAAATTGTTTTTAAATGTTTTTTATCAAAGGAGAACAGACAATGTTATTACTTTGGTTATTCAGTTTTAGAATTGAAATTTTCCAAAGATATTTTTACTATTATCGTATCAATACGAATGTAAATGTAATAAAGTATTTCAGCATTTATTTAAAAAATAAATGAAGACTCAGGGTTAATGGACAAATATTATTTGTTGCAAATACATCCGTTATGTTTGTTTTTTGCTCCAGGCTAGCTGCTATATAGATAGATAGAATCATAAATTATAGATTTGTACATCATATTTAAATTCCTATTTTGTCATTTTGGTATATCACAATTTCAATATGATGTACAAATCTATAATTTATGATTATACCTATTCTAATATAGAAGGGTCTTATATTTATATATTATACTTGTAAGAAGAAATTTTCTAGGCTACCCTGGCTACCTGTATGTAATATATTATATTATGAGGTACCTGTAGTCATGAATAGTAAACTCAACATAATTATAAAAGAAAACTAACAATTTTCAGTTGGCTATTTTTGATCTAATCTCTTATTAGTTTTATAAAAATTAATGACCCTGGTGACCACCAATATTTTTTGGAATCTCACATATTACATCCAAAATAAAAATGTAGAATTTTATCTACTCGTTAACAAACAAAATTTACAAAAGTAAAATAACTAAATAAGTAGTTTTAATCAAATCAATCAAAATGTATTTTCTATTTAATGATGTATTTCCAACAATAACAATTCTAAATGTAAATACTGAATATGGTACAAGAATGAAACAATTTTCAAAAACTACCTTATCTTTGAACTAATGCAATAACCAACTTGTGTTTACAATAATTGGTAATAACTATAACAAGTAATATAATAATATAAATTATAGGCAAATGATAAATTACAATTTTAGTATCATAACCTGGCATATTGTTCAATTTGAAACTTTTTAACTATTATTAATTTGGGAAAACATTAAATGATCTGAATAAATTATTAAATTATTTCAGGTATGGATTCGGTGACATCAGCACTTGCAAATGTGGCTGCTAATAAAGGTGGTATTTATGGAAGTCTAGTTTATTTACGTTCCGAAATGTCAAAAAAAAATGGAGCATTAAAAGAATTTCAAGAATATGGTGGTGTCAAAATATTGAGCAGATTACTACAACAAGTTAACCCTAAAATAACATCATTAGTTTTAAGCATTCTTGGAGACTACAGTATGAATTCAGAGTGCCGTGAGGAAGTAATTATAACTACTTTATTAAACAAATAAATATTAATTTTAGATATAAATATTTATGTACAAACGTATTTTTCTTGCAGTTACTTCATTATGGTGTTCTCAAAGACCTTAGTTTCATAATGAAAAATATAAATGTTGATTCGATTCACTATCGCATATTTAGGTTGATCGCTAATCTAGCTAAATCTGAAGCCCATATTCATGCCATGTACAAACATAATATTCATAGTATAACTATACAAATATTATCAAATACTGATAGTGATCTTACCAGATATACAGCAATTCGAGCTCTTAGGTAAATCTTGGTTAACTTTGTGATACTTTAACTAACAAATGTGTTACTGTCAATATTATTTTTAATGATTTAGAAAAATATTTGAAAATTCATCAAAAATTGGTTGTTCAGAAATGTTAAAATTACGAGCTGTTAAAATAATCTCAGATTCCTTAAAATCAGAACGCAAGGAAATAGTTATGGCTGTTCTAAGAGCTCAAACCGCCATTTTGTATCGAGTTTTAGATTTAAAACATGCAAAAAATAGCTTGGATGCTGTTGTACAGGTAACATTGGTGTATAATTTATTCAAAGGATTAATATGAACACTAAATAAAAATGTCTTATTTTTATAGATTTTAGGAAATAGTGAAGAAAAAAGTATTGATAACATATGTATTTTAGTGAATTTACTACCAGAACAACCATTAGTTTCCAAAATTATATACGCAATGTGTAAAATTCGAGACGCTTTAGGATATTTACATCAATCACGTTTGATCGTGCATATCACTGAAATTCTAAAAAAAGAAGATAACCATTGTAAGTTGCATATCATTTTATAATAACAATCAATATACCAAAATTAAATTACTTGTTTTTAATAATATTACCTGTTGCATTATAAAACTTTTGTATGATAACAACAGTCATAATTGATATAAAATGATTGTTTAGTACTAACATTTAATTGTAAACGCATTTTTACAATAACAGGAATAATCGATTGGCAAATGCTTTGTAGTTCAAACATTTACATGTCTATTTAATGTACCTATACTGTTTTTAGGTAATCGGGAAAAAAATCCCCCGGCGAACAACCCCGGAAAAAAAAATCCCCAGCTACAATATTACTCACAATTACATGCAAATGGTTGAACAAATATATTTTGAACGTTAATTAGTATCTATAATTAATATTTAATGACAAATAGGTATAGGTATTATATTCTATTATAATATAATATATTTTATTGTTAAAAAAATTATAAAAATATTTAGAATGATTGATACGTTAATTAATAATACAGTTAAAAACATAGTATACAAAAATATTATACAAAATATAGGTACCTATATATTTTATGTTGGTATTATTCTGTAAAAATTGAATCCCCGAAATAAAATATTGCGTACATTTTTTATAATATTTTTATATACCTACTATGTTTTGAACTGTATACTTTGACGTATCGATCACTCGAAATATTTTTATACTTTATATATTTGTGTACACTACACCTCACACAACAATCATAAGTAATATTTGAAGTTTTGAAAACGTAATATTTTATTTCAGGGATTTAATTTTTACAGAATTATACCAACATAAAATGTGTATTAATATAGTAATATAAAATGTTGTTGTTAATTTTTCAAATATTATTTATAGTTATTTATTTATATTATTTCTATTTCCTATATTTTGTATAATATTTTTGTATACTATGTGTTTAACTGTATTATTTGACATATCGATCATTCAAAATATTTTTATATTCTACACCTATTTGTAACTTTGTTAAGTTAGTTATTTAATTTGAATTACACATAATATATTATCGTAATTTAAAACAAAATATTATTTATAATATATATTTTTTTTAACAATATAATATAATATAATATAATATACGTATTTTTAATTAAATATTAATTATAGATACTAATTAAAGTTCAAAAAATATTTGTTCAACCATTTGCATGAGGTTGTGAGTAATATTGTAGTCTGGAAATTTTTTTTCCTGGGGTTGTTCGTCGGGGGATTTTTTTTCTGGGATTCCTGTTTTTAATAATTAATTTTTTTTATTCTAAATTATAGATTTAACATTATCAATGTGCCTTTTATTGCAATGCCCACTCAACCGTATTAGATTTGTTGGTATACAAGACTGGCAGAGCATATTTTTGGGCTTAATTACCAGTACAAATCATACTTACATTGATATAGCAATTAATACTTTACCACATTTTCAATACTGCAAGGTTACGATAAAAGTATGTATCAACTTATTCTATTCTGTGGTATCACTCAAATAATTTATTTGTTATTATGGTATG